TGCAGACTCACCCCCCATTCTGGGGATCCACCCCGGCTCTGGTAGCGAGTGACTCTCAGGGTCCCAGTTCCAGTCACGCTTGCCCTCAGGCTCAGCTTCTCTGTTCCATCGTGGAGTCCTCCATGACCTACACGTGGGTCTCTGCTCCGCCATTGAATCTCCATGGGCTGCAGGAGACTTTGTCTTCTCCTACTCCATGCGGTTGAACTGGGTGTGAGTCTCTGTCTTTCCCTCTGGAAATGCAGCTCTCTCTCTGTCTGTCCTTTGTTTAGGCCGATGGTCGCCTTTTGTTCAGGTCAATGGCCTCTCCTCCAGGTACCACACCTACTTCTTTTCAGGACAGCCCTTCCCCTCACCAATAGGAATTTGCAGAGGTGTTTCTCTAGTGCTCATTGGCTCAATCTATGCTGTTGGGGCACGCCTTGGAGCCAGGCTTCCCACAAGGTGGCCCCTTCCCCCAGTACCAGGAAACGCTCTGCCACCCGAAACCCAACACATAGCCAAATTATTTTCTTCATTGTGTTATGTTCCCTGCTTTTTCTAGCTGCCTCTGTCAGCTGCTAGATGAGATCTTCTGTCTGAAGATTGGGCAGAATAGAATAAGCTTCTCAGATTATCTCAAAGATACTATCACTGAAAAGGAAGGGTATTTCTAAAAATGTACTACAGTGTATTTTATTCTTTAGCCTGCAAGATCATGCTGAGTTTTGGATCCTGGAAAAACCATCTGTGCTGCTATTTTGTTGACAAGTTTTTTTTTTACCCTGTAGATTCCATGCATGTGTTTCCCCCCAGCCCATTGAAGATATTAAGTGTAAGGTGCAATTTGCAGGAAAATTGCTGTTGCACTTTGAAGACTTGATTTGATTATGTTTCTGTTCTTCCTCCAAAAATCAAGTAGGTGGTAAAATAACCTGAAAGACAGGGATCGAATTAAGTTGAATGACAGCAAAGACAGTTACGAAGGCATCCAGTAGAACTTATGCCTGACTGTCAGAATAGAGCTGTTTTTAACGGATCCATTAACAGTTTTATTTATTTTCACTTTTTTTTTTCTTTTTCCTTAGGTTTTACTCAGGGGTGAATCTATATTAAACACTAAACATTGGGGCTCTGTTTGTGACAGAAGCACGTAGTGAAGTATTGAAGATATGGTTTCTTATTTGTAACAAGTTAACCTCGCTCACTTTTCTTTCATCCTCATCATTATTACGTACTGAGTTTGAGAAGGAAGTGGAAGGAACAGTTGCTGGAGGGAAGCATAATTGTAATCTCAGAATATTCAGGAAAAAAAAAATGCCAAAAGAGGAAGTTAGGGGTCACTGTAACAGTGCTCTTGCAGATGTATTAGTTCATACAAGACATGCCTGTGATGAGTACAAATGGAGTTTTAGTGACAAGTAATTGTGTCATTATTTTTTTTTAATATTGTCACAAGAGCAATCTCAGGCTTTGCAGGGGAAGTATTAGTGCTGCCAGTATCAGCTGTTAAATGTATCATTACTCAAGTTGGGAAGTCAGGTTGCAAGCCAGTTCCAGCTTGCTGGTTCACATTAATGAGGAAGGAAAAAGCAAGAGAGGTCTGTCAAATGAAGTATGAACTCAATAGAAATTAGAAGGGCTTAGAGGCACAGTTTGTCTTACATTGTCCAAAAAATTTTAAGTTTCCTTATTTTTTCAGGGAACTCTTGCTCTGCTTAAATATACTCTTTGATATAATTACTTCACATTCCTTCTGTGTTAATATTTGCTGGTACAGTTGTGTAGGTGGGTTCTTGATTTTGATTCTCTTTCAAATGACCATTGTATTCTGTATTACATTTTTGTTATTCAAATAACTGTCTTGTTCTGTGAACACTGGGATATACCTTTATTGAGGAAGGCCCAAAAATACTCTATTAATAGACATTTTGAAATATCTGTACTTCTTTAGATCATTGAAGTTGGGTTATGTGAAGTCTTTGAGCTGATAAAGGAGACAAGATTTTCTCATCCATCCTTGTGTCTCAGGAGCCTACAAGCCCTACTTAATGTGCTCCAGGGCCAGCAACCAGAAGGCCTGCAGTCAGAGCCTCCTGAAGTCCTAGGTAATATTTCATCTGTTACTATATTTGTATTAATATGCATCTGTTATTGTATTGGACAGAAGAAAATGGTTCCTAGCAAGTATTTCTGAGATGGTAACATGCTTGTTCTCAACAGACTGACATTATTCTGGAGTGTAAAGTCCTTATGTTGTATGTAACCAGATGTAACCATGTAACCAGTACTTTCTCAGCATTAATCTTTTGTAGAACAGGAATATTGACATATAAAGAGAGATATATATATATATGTGTGTGTGTATATATATATGTATATATAAAAGTCATATTTTGTTGTTGTGTAATGCAAAGTTTCATGAAACATAGTAAAACTTACAGCCTTACAAATTGTGATTTGTCTTATGGAAGCTATAAAGTACTCGATCTTATTGGAAAGAAGATAGTTCTACAGTGAACTTCTCTTGCGATCTGCTGTTGTAATCTATAGTTTAGCTATTTAATGTTGTAATTTATATAAAGTTGCTAAACAAAGTGTCAGAATTCTTGATTTTATTTCCTCTGGCTATCCAGAAGTTTCCCTGAAAATTAATTTTGCTTTTAAGGATATTGAAAATAAAAGTTTTAACTCCTGATGTCTTTGAATGTACAATTAATTGTCTTTTAAGTTAAAATCCAATTATCTTTTGTTAAGTCATAGTTTTTACTGGTTTATAGAACTACAAGGAAGGCTAAGCTTCAGTATCTGTTGTTTAAAGGGAAAAAAAAAGCTGAAGACTTTCTGTGTATATTTTCCTGTGTAATGGCTCAACAGCATTCTATTTCCAAAGATGATAGCAATTTGCTTTTACTGTATATTAATGCACAGAGCATTAAAAAGCTACAAAGAAGGCTTTGTTTTGTTTGCTGCCTTACTGTATATACCATTAAAAAAATGAGATGGATTTCTGTTCACACCTTGATTGTTACAGATATTCAGCTGCTAAACAGTGCTTGAAAAGAGGCATACGATCAGAATAATTTTCAAGCTTTAATTTGAAATGCTCGTTTCTGAGAAATGGGATGTACTTCAACATGGGTAATGGTCATAAAGATTAGACAAGGTTGATCAAGACCTACACATCATCTCAGAGATGAGGTAGACTGAATAGGCAGGTAAAGTAACTCCTGGCCTGTTTCTTATTTATGTGTTCCACTGTAACAGGACGACTTAGTTTTCCTTGTTCTCTGGCCGTTGTGATTATCAAGACTTGATGCTTTCTGGATGAAAATGAATGAAAAGTTAAGGGTGTTGTAGGCCTCTTTAAATGGGATGCTTTCTTTTCTGTCTGGAAATAGGGTTAAACTTAATGTCTGAGGAAAGATGTATCATGTAATTGGTAAGTTTAATTTCCCATCGACTGGAAAATTGCTTGGTATGATTTTGTGACTTATCTATGTTATTGCTGTGTTTTATCTGCAGAATCCCTCTTCCAGCTTCTTCTGGAGATAACTGTCCGTAGCACAGGAATGAATGACAGTACAGGACAGTCCTTGACAGCGCTTTCCTGTGCTTGCCTCTTCAGTTTGGTAGCTGCCTGGGGAGAGACAGGAAGAACGTTGCAAGCAATCTCTGCTATCCTCACCAATAATGGCAGCCATGCTTGTCAGACTATTCAGGTCTTGCACTAAACTTCTCTGTATCTGTGAATTTATATAAATGATGTGTACATGAGTTCTGAGAAGATCTATTGTGTAGATTCAGTTAAATTTTTTCCCTTGTTATTTTTGAGATAATAGTAGGTATTTTTTTTTATCTCTCTTGAGCTGGAGATAAATCAGAAAATACAATTTAAAAAGTCATGTTTTTCACTCACTCACTGTTTCTTTTACTGTTTAGGTGCCAACCATTCTAAACTCTCTTCAGCGGAGTGTGCAGGCAGTTCTGGTGGGCAAAATCCAAATCCAGGACTGGTTCAGTAATGGGATAAAGAAGGCAGCCTTGATGCACAAATGGCCATTGAAAGAAATATCTGTAGATGAAGATGATCAGTGCTTACTTCAGAGCGATGGTTTTTTCCTCTATCTCTTATGTAAAGATGGACTTTACAAAATTGGCTCTGGATATAGCGGGACAGTGAGGGTAATGCGATTTCTTATTGTCTGATGAATGATAGCTAACATTTTAACTTTATGATGTCCTATTTCCATTGAGAATCTTTTGTAGTTTACTAATGCTCAGTTCTTTTAGAGTTTGTTTAAATTTTTTTTATTTTTTTTTATGAGAATTTTTACAGCATTTTTTCACTTCTCAATATAGTTGAAGACATTGTTATTTAGATGGTAAATGATTATGTGTAAAATTGTGTCTCTGGTATTTGTTAAATCATTGGAGGTTTTTTGTTTTTCAGGGACATATATACAATTCTACATCCCGCATCAAAAACAGAAAGGAAAAAAAATCTTGGTTAGGCTACGCTCAGGTAGGTGAATACTTAAAACATAAAATGTGTGCCTCACTTCCCATCCCTCATGTGTAATTTAAGTAGTTAATTAACAGTTTTGAAAAAAAATCTCTAGTTTTTAATGCACATATTAATATTCATTTATGATCACTCTTCTTTATAGGGTGATATATGTATCTGCTTCCTTGAATTTCTGTGAATCTTGTTGATTTGGAATGTGGGGACAGGAACATTGGTCTTTACTGTGGTTGTGCCTTTTAACTGTAATTATATACACATATGAAGAGCGGAATTACTGTGTGGCTTCAAAAGCTGTATATGAGCTTCAGCATGCTGATGCATAGTATATAGAAAATGTGGAGGAAGGGGGTCAAATTTCCTTTTTATTTATTGCAAAATTTGTTTAGTGAAAAAAAAGTTGATTATCAAAACAAAGCAAATTTGATGTAAAAGGTTTCCAAAATGTTTAAACAATACCTGAAATAATGATTGTATTTTTTTAACATTTTGACAACATCCTTTAGTATATTTAAAATATTTTCATACCAACATATGTATTCTTACTCTTACCAGGGTTATTTATTATATAGAGATGCGAATAATCACAGTATGACAGCCATAAGAATAAACCCTGAAACTTTGGAACAAGATGGTACGGTTGCTTTGCCAGGTATGAACCTCCAGATTTGAGATGGTTATAGTTTACATGCTATGTATTTTCAGGTAAGCAGAAGAGAAACTGAGATAGATTTTGAAATCAAGAAGAGGCTGCTATTTTTATGGCTTTGGTTTGCTGCATTAGACCAGCTGCAGTATTTCGTTCAGAGGTCTTGCATCTTACTCCAACTACTGTAAGAATATTGCACCATTTTAGAATATATGGTCATCTTCATTTTAAGACCCCAAGAGTTTAACTTCCTTCTTAAAGAATTTTTATTTCTTCCTCATTTGATCTTTGAGGATTTGGCTCAGATATGACACTGTTTCCAGTATCTCTTACATGTAGGTGGTTACAAACTCTGACCAAAATAATTTGGTTTTTTATGTAGGTAGAAATGTGTCCGAAAACCAAAGGAGGCAAATAAACACTAATGGACCACGCTTCTGATGTTTAAATTGGTGGTGGGTTTTTGATTATTTGGGGATTTTTTTGTAGTATGTTTCCTTTTTTTTTTCTTTTTTTTTTTTTTTCTTTGTGTAGAGGCACCTCATAACTTGGGTCTATGTTTAGAAAATGAGGATGTTTCTGGAGCATGCTTTAGTGGCCTCCTGGTGAAACACATCTGTTTTTAGCCACTCATATAAACAGTAGAAGGGCACAAGAATATCTTTTGATCGAACAATGACAGGCTTATTCTGTAGATCAGAAGAAAGATTTTTTTTTTTGTTGCGTTCTGACATAAATAAGACACTGACTGAAACCTCAGAAACATTCTGTAGGCTTTTTGTATTTTAAACACAAACAGTAATTTTGTAAAGAAACTGTGAATGTAGAATCCAGTCTGTGCAACTTCCTGCAAGTCCTTAAAATGTGGATGTCTGTTTAAGCTGGTTGGTCTTTGTGGGGCTGTTTGAGAAACTTAAGTTGAGTGAGAGCTCATTCAAGGACCTGACAAATTACCTTGTTGGATTTTTTTTCCACTTTCTTTACCTCAAGGCAGCTTCTTGAACCAGTAGGGTCCTTTGAGGTCCTTAATTATGTTACTATTGCTAAGCAAATCAGTGCTCTTCATGCAAGTCTTGGGAGATACTTGAGCACGTTTTAAAGTCTACGCCTCTAAGCTGTTAGGTTTCTTTTGCAGATCTTAGTAACAAGTGTCATTCTGCAAGACAGCCTTGTGTTTATACTATAAAAAAGCACAAATTAAACAAGATCATGCCTTCTAGACAAAAATGTATTAATCTTTCAGTGCAAAAGCAAATCTTATAACTGTGGGAATACCCATTCAGAAATTCCTTAAACTATTTTATTTCGTATGGTTTGTGATGGTGTTAAAGTTGGGTACTAGATGTTCTTCATAACTACTACCCTTTGTATTTCAGCCCTTGAACTTTGCTGCTCTGCTTTCTGCACTTTGACACATTTATCACAGAGATATATTGTGAACAGATATGGCCTTGTTCTTTTGGCTATGACAGATTCAAAGGGGTCCACTTCTAGTTATTTCTGTTTCCCATTAGAAGGAAAGAAATGAAGATGGGGGAGGGTATGTTTCCTGAGGAAACCTGAGTAGGTACATAACTCTAAATAGTAGTGGCTGCCCCACTTTAATCTTAATAAAGCCTTGCAGCATGTTGTAGTTCTGAAAAACCACACCGGATAGAACTAGAGGGCAGTAACCTCGCTAACAGCTGATCACTGATAGGACTGCAGCTATTTCCTCCTAGTTGGTGTGATGTTCAGACATGGCTCTATCTGGGGTTACTCTCTTTCAAATGCCTGGGCTGGTGATAATGCATTTAAATAAGGTATTTGTATTTATTCATACAGGGATGCGTAGGAGATTAGGAGTTGATCCTAGCTAGAAGTCAAATGACCTTGGAAAACTCAATGAACTATGGAACATTATCTTCTCTCTCAGACAGTAGGATAAACCAGCTTCTTGAAACCATAAACTTCTGTTTCAAAGTGCAGTCTTTCCGCTCTAATAGATGATCTAGCAAATCTGACAATTTATCTAGAACTGCCAGACTATGTGTCAACATTCCTGTATGTAATGCCTTCACCAAGCTTCATACACTGTCCCTGAGCTGTGGATCTGTCTTCCCAGTCCAAATATCATAAAAGAATCCCCAGATTCTATGAGATTTTCTAGGTGATTAGACCTGAATTTATAGAGGAGGTTTTCATCTTGACTGTTTTTTTAGCAGTAGTGGTTACTACATACCTTAGAGAAAGGTTGCTATGTTCAGCTGAAGAAGTTTAAGTTACATGGTATCCATATACCATGTAACTTAAACTTCTTCAGCTGAACATAGCAACATAGCTTCATTGTTCTTTGAAATTACGCATGAATATCTTAGAGTTCAGGACTATTGACTTAGTCTGAAAAGTACTGGTCACTGAGGGTAGCCCAGACGAACTCAGGAGTACTTATTAGCAGGAGCAGAGTGCACTATATAAATATGGTAGGTCATGCTTGACAGTCATCTTCTCTTGAAGCCTCTAAGGAGGTGTCTGTAACAGGTGTCTGTAGTTACATCCTTTAAGTAAAACACAAGCGCTTTCTGTTATAGTAATCTCCAGACAGAAACCTTTGATATCTTTGTCCCCAGAGTAATTTCTAAAGTCAGATTGAGTAAGACTGCAGTTGATCATGAGAGCTCCTTGCTAGCTGAGACTCTATACTATCCTACTTTTTGCAGATATTCCATTTGCCTTCCATTTTCTGCTCCCTTAATTTGATATTTAATGCTGGGCCTGGATGTTATCTAATGAACTGATATTTTTTAGGAAGACTCTGAACAACATAAATTAAAAAAAAAGATTCCCTGTTCCAGATTTCCTCTGTGAAGACACCTACCAAATATATAAACAGCCCCCAGAAATGTTTACTGGAAGGCTCACCTCTTCTTGAAATGACTCAAGAAACAGACCAAACAGTGTAATATGAACGAAGTGGTGGCCAGAATATCCTGTTTCCTTAAGAGTTATGCTTATGTGAGCATGTAATTTTCAGCCATTCAAGGGATCTAACTTAGCAACTTCCTATAACCTTTCAGAAATGTAGATTAGATTATTTTTTAAATTTCTCGTCAGGTTATTGACAACTCTTTTGTTTTATCGCTAATAACACTTTGCAGCTTAGAGAATTAGTAACGTGAACTGACCTTGGTCATTAAATCAGAGATTATTTTTGAGAGAGCAATATTTCAAACTTCAGTGTATCTGCCTTTCTTCATTCCGCTTGCTGCTTACCCTCTTTGTGATTCATACCTGTGTGTGCTCTAAGGGGGGAGATTGTCTACTATAGGTCTGTTGCTTCAAGATGTCAGAATTAGATAAGGCCACCTAATGCTTACTCTTTTCCTGATTCTGTTCCTGGTAAGATGCTGTATTGGACTGGGCAGTATAGGAAAAAGTAAACAAGTTTGTGGGTTTGTGAATAATAGGGTTTTTTCAGCTGTATTATTTTTAATAAAACACTCCAGCTAGCTAGCAAATAATAGCAAACTTACTGGTTATGCTAGAAGGATATTATGTGTGCTTCATTTAGCATTAAATTTGTTAGATAAAATGACTGATACTGGGTCTTTGTTCAGGTTGTGAAGCAGATATTTAAAGTGTAAAGTAGCTGTCCTGTATTTTTTAGACGAGATCTTTCCTGTGTGTAATCAATGAAACAAGCACTTTACAAGTGTGTAATATCAATCTCTGTTAGTAGCTCCATCAGCAGAGCAAGAAGGGAAGAAGAAATGGTGTGGGGACATATTTTTAAACTTGTACAGAAAGTGATCTTTTTATTTTTTCTCCTAATATGGGCAGAATTAAAAAAATTTCCCTACCTTTTTTTCTTGGAAATAGGTGACTTGTTTACAATAAACTTGTGATGCATTCAAGTATATGCTTTATAGTTTTCTGAAAACCTAGAAATTTCAGTTAATAGTTTGTCAAAATTTATAAACATTGGAAAAATGAGATTAATAATGAAAAATTTGATTCTGTTTCATTTATTTCTGTAGGTTTTATATGCTGGACTGAGGAAACTTCTCTTTAAAAAGAATGGCCCTAATTTAAAAAAAAAAAAAAAAAAGTCTTTTGGAGGAGTAGAAAGACTAGCACTCAAAGAAGATTAGAATTTAGTTGTGTTACAGTAGTGTAGAATACCTCTCACAAGTGAATACTAAATGCTTTTGTAGTTAAATATTGTGGTAACCCCTGATATTTCATACAATGGAAAGTGCTTTAGTAAGTCAAAGACAAAGAAGTATTAATGCTTTTGGTGAGAGAGGAGAGCCTAGCATAAAACAATGTGTTATCAGAACAGATGATCTCTCTTTAGACAAACTAAAGCTCTCATAGTCTTGATAGTAGTGAGAATGAATTAAACAGAAGCAGGGGACAGTGTATGTATGTTAAAATGAACTAATGCAGTGTACTTCATCTTTCTCTCACAGATTGTCATACTGAAGGGCAGAATATCCTCTTTACTGATGGAGAATATGTTAACCAAATAGCAGCATCTAGAGATGTAAGTGTTAAATACGATGGGGAAACTGTTTTCTCTCAAATACCAACAACTGTTTTGGTATTTATTTAAACAATTTTGATTTGTGATGGATTTTTCACATTTTTTTTTTTTTTAGTATTTTTCAGATAAGTTTAAGAAAAAACTGTTGCTCTTTCTGAGGAAAAAAATCTTATGCATGGAGTAATGGCTTTTTAACATGTTATTCCACAGAGTCTCTGTGCCATAAGCTTCTTAGAGCTTAATTATAATTTTTTTCCTAATTTAATTTCCTGTGATTGCTTTGGTACTTGTTGGGGGATTTCAGACAGATTTTCACAGAGGATGTAGGAAAGATACTACATTCCAATAGATTTCTGTGTGAAAGTTCTCTATTGACTAAAGCTGTGGAAACCCAAGTAAGTGCTTCTACTAGGGGCAAAACAGTTCCAGCTTCTGCTAGGGGCAAACCAGTTCTAGCTATTCTATGTTTTGTTACATTCTTAGTTCTGGACTGGTCACTATGTTTTGACAGTGGGAAAGCTGTAACACAAGGATGGGGTGGAGCAAGACAGGGTTGGCAAGAGATTCCGGACATGCAAGTATAAGAAAACCAGGATTAATCCTTTTCCCTGCTAATGGAACAACTTTTTTTTTTTTTTTTTTAATATGGCCAGATGAAGATACTTCATCTGCACTTGTAAACAGAAACCTGTTTAGCTACCCTTTAAAGCAGTCACTCTTAAACTGCATGAAGAATTTTGGGTTCTGAATCAGGAGAAGTTGAGGGCTTAAAAGACAGATGTAAATAGTTTTAAAAGCAAGATTTATATAGTGAGATTCAGAAGTAATTATTTCTATAGTAATTCACTATTTTCATAGTGTTCATAGTGTTTTCATAGAATTCAATATGTGCTTAAGGTCTGTCAGATGCTTATCTTCAGCTCATCCTGTTTGGCACTCTTTGCTTTTCTCTGTATAATAAATGTTACTTCATCAATGTTTCCTCTGATAATTTACTCTGAAATAGTATTATACTGATACACTTAGGCCATAAAAAGTAAATTATTGCATTTATTATACAATATAAAGTAGATTTTTTTTCTTTATTGCAGGATGGCTTTGTAGTGCGAATATTTGCAACGAGTACTGAGCCTGTACTGCAACAAGAACTGCAGCTTAAGCTCGCAAGGAAATGCTTACATGCCTGTGGCATCTCATTGTTTGATCTGGAGAAAGACTTGCACATTATCAGTAAGTCCTCTTCTTTGAAGGTTAATAACAAGCAAGTTATGCAAATCATAAAACTGAAACAGTGCCCTTCCCTTTGTTTGCCTTTGTTATGTGCAGGAAGGTACAGCTCTATTACAAACATGTGAAGTACAAGGGTTTTGAAACTCCTTAAGTGTAATCCATGCCCTCATTTTGACTCACCTTGCTGTCTATAGCACTATGCATGGTTTCCCAGTATTCTCCTGTAGTTGTATAATAAATATATAATTGTTTGAAGCTTGGACTTCATAATAGTGCTTGTATAATATGTAGTTGAGCTATAGAACTCCTTGCTGTGGGTCAAAGTTAACAAAAGTTAAAAGGACTGCTGTCTGGATTAAAGGAAAAGAAATATGTGGAAACTACCCTTTTGCTTCAGAATTTGAGATGCAAAAATTGTTGGTCTCTATGAAGCTATTTTGGAAAAATATCACTTGACATTTGCTTTGGTTTTGATTTTTTTTCTCTGATAGGTGTCTGCTTTTGTCACCATCAGAACAAAAAGCGTATTTGGCTACATGGACCTTTTGTCTGACCAAATGCGCTTGCTTTTATGCTAGTGCTTTCTTCCTCTTTGAACAACTCGGCCAGGTCTAGCCCATTAAACCTTCTTGTGGCAGCAAAACTTTGTTTCATTTGTCACTTAGTCTCCCTAGCAGGGTTAGGTCAGTAAACTAGTCTGTGAAACTGCCTGGTTTAACTGTCCAGTTAACGCTGTCTTACACGCACAGGTACAGGGTTTGATGAGGAATCAGCTGTCCTTGGTGCTGGAAGAGAGTTTGCACTAATGAAAACTTCTAGTGGCAAGGTACTGAAAATGTTCTGTAGTAAACAGCAAATTGCATCAATATATTTCTACATGTTTTGTAATTTAATTTTTTTTAGTTTCTTTTTAGTGTGTTAGAATGAATATATATGACTGTATTTAAATACATTTTCAGAGCCCACTTTAAAGGGAAAAAGGCAAATGGTTATTTGAAAACATAAACAGATGGTGTTGGAACCAATCTTAATCTTAACTGTTTCATTGAATTTATCAGAATTTCTGCAGTCAGTCTTACTTAAAGGCAGTGTGGGGCTTTGTTTTAGGTTTGGGAGAGAGGGATTACTTTTTATCTGCAAATGATATATTAGCACATTTGCAAAATTTTTGACCTCATAACTTTTCCATAAACAGTCTGACCATAGTAGTTTATTTAAATTCCAGTCTGATTTTTTGTGATCCTTCAGAGAATTACTGACTGCCCCTATGCAAAGTTTTTGATTGATTTTTTGGAAACCTATTCTTAATATTTTGATAATGTTTGTTCTGCTCAGTGGAGACTGTTTCTCAGAGGTATTTGCATATTCATTGAAATTTAGAAATTATTTTGCTTACTGTCACTATGACTTTTTACATTATTTACTGTGTTTCTATTTCAGTTTGGGAAACTGATGTTATTTTACTTGTATAAGCATAGTTCTTTGTTTTCCTGTGTTCAGAATTGTGTTGCTTTATTGAAATGGAAGCCTTGCTCTGCTTCTGTCAAAATAGTGAGATTGGTGAAAATGTTCATAAATAAATTTCACTATTTTTTCCTAATAAAATTTAATAGTATGAAACAATTTGATCAAGCAGAACTCTTCAGACATTAGAGGAGATAATTTTATATTGAAGAGGCATTTGTTAATCTGAAGATCACATTAATCTAACAGACCTCCTAGTTTTGATCTATAAAGTTGAGTGTTTAGGTATGAAATACACTTTATAAGACATTGGAAAATGGCTTTAGGTGACCACATAGGTTAACACACCCATTTTATAGTACTGTTGAGTAGCGTGGTTCTAGAGGAAACTTTTTAGTCCGTATCATTTTTTTGTGTTTGTTCATGTGAAATATTTTACTCTGTCTTACTCCTTATGTACTCCATGGCCACTGTGCCTTTACTGAAAATAAGTTTTAAAAAGGTGTTGAAGCATATTAAAAATTGTAGTAATTTGTTATTTTTTATTATTTTTATTGTTACAATACCATCTTGTTTTTACACAGATCAGACATTTCCCTTAAGTGTTCTAAAAGCTTGGTTTCCTCTGCCTAGTTTCTTCTGAACAGTTCTTTCTTGTGTGTTCAACTCATCTAGCCAAACAATTATATATGAAAACCTACTGTGGCACAGTAGAAAGCACATTTTAAAACAAGCAGAGTCTAATCAGAATGTTTCCCTCATTAAGTAAAAATTAATAGGTGTACGATAGAGATATTGAAATGGTGTAAACAATGTCAGGAAAAGTTCTGTATTGTTTGAAATGACAATTTTTTTTTAAAATGGAACTTTAAAAATTAAGCAAGTTTAAAGTGTTGTGGCATAAATGAAAACGATAAACTGTTTTCTCCTAGATTTATTATACTGGCAAGTATCAGAGCCTTGGAATCAAACAAGGTGGTCAAGCAGGAAAATGGGTTGAACTCCCAATCACAAAATCTCCAAAGATTATTCAGTTCTCTGTTGGACATGATGGCTCACATGCCTTACTTGTTGCTGAGGATGGAAGCATATTCTTCACAGGTTCTGCTAGTAAAGGAGAGGATGGGGAATCAAGTACGTATTATGCTTGCTTGATCAGTGATTGATAGAAGCCTATTAACCACCTTATAGTTTGAGAAGAAGAGTTTTAATATTTTCCAAGAAACTGTTGTGTTGTGTTAGATCAATGAAAAAAAAAGAAAGAAAAAAAAGTGAAAAATGTGTTTTGATAAATACCTAGCTCTTGAGGATCTTAAAACAAAGCTGATATTTTGATGG